GAACATTCCTTCGTAATGCTGAACATTCCTTCATCAGGTGAATGCTGAACATTCCTTCATTAGGTCAATGCTGAACATTCCTTCGTCAGGTGAATGCTGAACATTCCTTCATCAGGTGAATGCTGAACATTCCTTCATTAGGTAATGCTGAACATTCCTTCATCAGGTGAATGCTGAACATTCCGTCATCAGGTGAATGCTGAACATTCCTTCATCAGGTGAATGCTGAACATTCCTTCATCAGGTGAATGCTGAACATTCCTTCATCAGGTGAATGCTGAACATTCCTTCATCAGGTGAATGCTGAACATTCCTTCATCAGGTGAATGCTGAACAATCCTTCATCAGGTGAATGCTGAACATTCCTTCATCAGGTGAATGCTGAACAATCCTTCATCAGGTGAATGCTGAACATTCCTTGAATGCTGAACATTCCTTCATCAATGCTGAACATTCCTGCATCAGGTGAATGCTGAACATTCCTTCATCAGGTGAATGCTGAACAATCCTTCATCAGTTGAATGCTGAACATTCCTTCATCAGGTGAATGCTGAACATTCCTTCGTCAGGTGAATGCTAAACAATCCTTCATCAGGTGAATGCTGAACAATCCTTCATCAGGTGAATGCTGAACATTCCTTCATCAGGTGAATGCTCAGTCTCCTCATGGAGGAGAAGAATTAGCTCTAAACGTCGCATAAACAATAAAAAAAAGTTTTATCCATAAAACTTTCGTCCAACTTCTAAAAGCCTTTCAAGAACTTCAGTTATTCGAAGTTCGGGACAAACGTATCACATTCACTACCGGTGTTACGAGTACAACAAAACAAGCGTAGGGACAGAAGAACAAGAATTGCTGAGCAGGGTAACAGCCATGTCAGATAACAATAATACCACATTCTCAAGTAGAACTGATCCTCACGTACACATAATCACCATTTCTCTGAGCGTCCTTGGGAAGAACTCATCAATCTGTCTTAGTGCAAGTCTGTTTACTTTCCTCTTACGAGCGTCATTATTTCACCCTGATTGTGTAATTTACAGCTACACAAATGTTTAGTAACCTGTTTCCAGTAAGAAAACGTATTTTGACATTTACAATACAAGCTGTTTATGTCTGTTAATCTCCAACACAAATGCTTGCACCGGCTTTAGTTATCTGTCGGGCAAGAAAGGATTAGATTTATGAAATGCCCGTCTACAGCAAGCCAGTCTCGTGTTTATTTAGAAAGGGCAAATAACGGTAAACCCCCGTTAAAGGCATTCACGCTCCGTGGATGTTTTTATTACATATCACGTGCGTCTCACAAATGTACCTGAAATGCATATTTGTGGCTATCACCGACGAGCAAGATCAAAAGTCAATGCTTATTTACACAGTGATGTGTTGACAGGTGAGTTGTCATTTACGAGATATCAACTCTCGTGGCACGGGCAGACACCAGCACTCAAAGCACGCGCAGCAGTCGGGCGGGTTACACTCGGGGCGATCAGCTCGGACTGCACGATTAGCACGTGCGGAATTGAATCGAAATAGACCAGTTGGCCTAATTTTACACTCCCCGTGGTGTATTTATACTGTTAATGGAGGCACGGAATGTGAATTTGAGGAATTCAAGGGGAACAGTCACTGTAAGTCGTGTTTAAGCGAGAGTGGAATATATATTATTATTTCTGATATTTGCGACGGTAATGGTTTTATTAACACTCAGATATACCGTCTTAACTGTTCAACTGAGAGGTAGTGTTTATGCAAGTTCGGCGATGACATATTTAGGTTGGCATAAGCACTTCTCCCCCGTGCTGCCTTAAAGCTTCATGCTGGTACATGCTTCTGTACGGCCTCAATCCTTCATTGTTTTGGATGTGTCGGTTTTGATTTATCCCGGAAGTTTTATAACGACAGCAGTAGAACTTGCTACAGTGGCAGTGGTGATTTGGAAGAAAAATGAAAAATAGTTAATGAATTTGTCATATTTGGGGGCTTGCTCACCTTTCATTTTCAAAATCATGCGTAATCCTGGGCTTTTTTGAAATGGTAGCTACGCCCCTGAAAATCCAGCGTACATATACATATCAAATAATTGAACATATTAGTAATGGTAGTGTGGTAGTTACAGCAGTAGTTGTGTTGGTGAAGATAGTGTAGTAGTAGTGTACCCATGTGGAGAATCGAACCCGCGTCTTCGGCGTGACGGGCGAACGCTTTAACCACCCACCGCCCCGCCATGTGTATTGATGTTGTTACTGCTGTTGGTTGATTTAGCTGATAGTGACATGTTACAAATGCTTAATAACTTGCAAAACCACACGAAACGTGTCTTAATATAACATTCAGTACTGTCGAATTCATGTGGTTATTCCATATTTCATATCAGGAAATGGCGACCGGCCCAATTATTCTTTAGAAACATCCAACAAGATGATCAAAACTTGCCCGTCCTGAGTTATTTATTTGCTTTTGGAATAAAATAAAAATAATAAATACACGACCCGGGAAACCTAAATTGATAAATTTTCATGAATTTGTTCCGGACCGACAAGCCTTTGAAATATTTTACTTTTATGAGTCTCGCGTCGAGAATCTGTGCTTTTGTAGGCTGGCAGCAACGACGGGGCTAAACAACGACGGCGACGAGGAAATTACATTGACGCACAACACGCTGAGGGCTTTATTAAGCACTGACACGAGCTTCGTCTTGTTTCCACGATCTAGTTGCCGTCTAATTCAGCCAGTAACGTCAAAATGAAGTTACATGATTAACCATGATTATATCTTGTCTATGATGGCCTGTAAACAAGCTCAGTTACAGCGATATATATCATCATGTACACGTTGAAGACTGTTATGTGTTCTGTAATTGTGATGGCTTATCCCTACCTGGGTTTGATTGCATGTTGTGTAATGCCGCGCTGATCAATAGTTCTGCTAAATGAGTGAGTGAGTGAGTTTAGTTTTACGCCGCACTCAGCAATATTCAAGCTATATGGCGGCGGTTTGTAAATAATCGAGTCTGGACCAAACAATCCAGTGATCAACAGCACAGCATCGATCTACGCAACTGGGATTGCGTCATGTGTCAACCAAGTCAGCGAATCTGACCACACTATCCCGTTAGTGGCTTCTTACGAGAAGCATGGGTGGCTGAAGACCAATTCTAAACTGGATCTTTACGGGTCACAGCCAGAATGGCTACAGTACATCGGTTTCACACTCGGCGAAACATAATGTACCCTTTCGCTCAGCCTCTTTCGTTCATCGATCTACACAATTGGCCATGGAGTTCGATGACATGTGTCAACCAAGTCAGCGAGCCTGACCACCCGATCCTTACTTGCCTCTTAAACCAAGCATGGGTTGCTTAAGATCAATTCTAACCCGGATCTTCTACGGGTCAAATGACAACATTAAACAAACTATCGAGACTGGACGAACAATCCAGTGATTGACATCGTGAGCATCACTACCGCCCGATCCCGTTAGTCACCGCCACAACAAGCATGGATAACTGAAGATCAGTTCTAACCCAGATCTCCACAGTGTGGGTGGGTGGACGTGGGGCCCCAAGGGTGGGGCGCGGCGTTGGACACCTGTTATACGGAACAATATCCTATGGAAACAGAGCAGAAAAATAGGGGTGTTCCCAAAAGACACTCATGTTTCTATTAACCTCACTGGTAATGACGTGGCTTGTGAAATGCTTCAGCGCGACTTGCAGGATTCATCAACTGAACGTCAGCCTCAATAAGAACATCCAGGTCAGTGAAATTCCTAGCTAATTAACGAGTCTCGGTACCAGGTGTGCCTACCTCTCCAGCTGGCGCATGTCCTACTGACCGACAACCTCTCCCAGAGAGCATCATTGTACGGGCCTGCATGCATCGACCGACAAAAAATATCTCAGCATTTATGTTCAGCTTCGTTGCTGGACAAAAACAAGAATTAATTTAAGGAAATGTTTAAAAGTTTAGAAATACAAATGTCACATTCACCCATTCGTGTAATCCTGTAAATATCATTTATACTATTGCTTACAACTGTCATGACCCGTGAAGACCCGGGAAGATCAGCAACAGATGCTTGTCGTAAGAGCCGATTAACGGGATCGGGTATTCTGGCTCGCTGACTTGGTTGAAACATGTCACCGTATCCAAATTGCGTAGATCGTTGCTCATGATGTTGATCACTGGGTTGTCTGGTCCAGACTCAGTTGTTTACAGGCCGCCGACATATTGCTGGAATATTGTTGAGGGCGGCGTTCAACAGCAATAAAATAATTGTTATGTCGTGACTGATAAGTGTATAAGTAAAAGGAAGACTTCATTTCATTAATGGGGGCGTTGGGGTAGCCTAGGGGTACAGCGTTCGCTCGCCATGCCGAAGGCCCGGGTTCGATTCCCAACATGGGTACAATTTGTGAAGCCCATGTCTGGTGTCCCCCGCCGTGATATTGCTGGAATACTGCTAAAAACGGCGTAAAACCATACTCAGTCAGTCATTTCATTAATGTATAAAACGTGATGACAGCTGCTCCGTCTACAGGTGCTGTTGCCTTGGTGTCAAGCAGCTGCCCTCAAAGGCATGTATTTGATTGTTTTATTCCATAAATGAGTACATGATGTTTCTCATCCCGGCATATCATTTACTTGTTGTGAAGTCCGGCGTTGAACAAACAAACAAACATAACCCGATCCTCATGTAAAACAGTGACAAACTTGCTCAATCTAAAACTCAGTCTCCATGTTATATTCTGATGAAAATCGCTTCAAGTATATGAATATATGTCTCATAGCCCTTTCTGAGCTCGTCCACTACATATAGCTCAAGCTCTGTCCTGTCCACATACAATGAGTGAGTAAGAGTATGACTTTACGCACCTGTTAGCAATATTCTTGGAATACCACGGCGGAGGACACCGGAAGTGGGCTTTTACCACTCGATTACCCAAAACACCCCCCACCCCCCACCCCCACACACAGAATGTTCAGTTGACAAGAGGTTTAGATATCATTGTAGTTTGTTCAAGGTAATAAAGAATGTTCGTGATGCAAACTTAACTCCTCTTATACTGACCATGGATCAGTTTTGTCTTCTGCGTAATATGGTACTACTGGTTATGTGAAGCTGATCAGTGGTTCAGGGACGCTGAAATGTCAGCTGACCACACAATACTGATCCATTAATAGAATATGGATTTGAACGGTTTCTGCGAATTTCATTTGAGTATGATTTATATGAACAAATCTATTGTAACTGTTCCAAATAGTTGAGACTGGAAGGCTGGTGTTCTCACAGATCCAAGGGCATGTGACATACCCCTTGGCAACCCGACGTCATAGTTGTCACGTGCTGCAGGCGCCGCCTGACATGACAAACATTTTAAAATGAATGCCAGATAGGTCAATTTGTTAAAATATTGTCGTCTGTCACGTCTTGACAACATTTGCAGCAATTCTGAAATTACAATTATTGAACGCGCTTGTCGACATCGTGTCTTACTCCATCTCTATGGCTCGCATTTCAGTAATTGGAGATTCCGAGAATCAGGGGAAAGGAAAGTTTACCAAAAAACATAAGACCTGGAGATGCAGTGAGTAGGCTTCACACATTGTACCCATGCTGGGAAGCGAACCTGGGTCTTCGTCATGAAGAGCGAACATTTTAACCAATAAGTTACTCCCCTTGGGGTGAGTAGGTTTTTACGTTACTTTTAGCAATATTCCAGCTATATATATCACTGCCGGGCTTGAGACATTGTACCCATATGGGGAATAGAACCCGGGTCTTCGTCGTGATCAGCGAACGCTTTAACCACTGGGCTACTCCACCGCCCTCGACTCCACTTGGACATACAGAGGGTGATGTTACAGTATTAGTGATGTGGACGATGACATTTGCAAAGTCTCCCACATACGTTCTGTCCAGCTTTCCAGTGGGCTTTTCAAATTTTAAAAGGTGAACCATTTCGGCATACCACTGAGATACATAAAGTATATAAAGCCATATATGTTTATCCAAATACCCTCGTTCCTCGAGACATTTAATTCTCGGTTTTCAAATCTTTTATTTATTATCTTTACACCGAGTTTCCATTTTCAGCTACCTGCTGAAACAGCACACTTTGTAATTTGCGTTCTGAAAAATATCGTCAGCACGAACAGCGTTTTGTTACTTTTCCAGGCGCACTGAAGAAGTATAATCCTCCACATATTGATCAGTGTGACTTCTGAAACATCGTTCACAGTAGTTTAAAACCTAACTTCAGGTCTTGTGTTCCAGCCTTGTCTTTTATGAATGATTTAGGTAATCTGATTTCATCGTCAAGTGAAATTTCAAGATGAATATTATTTGATTTTATTTCATATTCTCAGCCTCGATATGTCCAGGGTTCGCACGAGGCGACGAGGATTATCGGGGTGAGGGAGTAAGTTGGGTTTTACGCCGCTTTTAGCAATATTCCAGCAATATTACAGCAGGGAACACCAGTAATGGGCTTCAAACATTGTACCCATGTGGGGAATCGAACCCTGGTCTTCGGCGTGACGAACGAACGCTTTAACCACTAGGCTACCCCACCGCCTGAGAACTATTGGAATGGATTCTGGAGTTAAAAATGTTTACCGAAATGGGAGCCCTTGGGATAAAGAGGATGTATTCTCCTGGACGATGGGGTGGCCTGATGGTAAAGGCGTTCCCTTGTCACGCTGAAGGTTTGATCCCCTATTGTCCTCTGCTATGAATTTTCTGGAATATGGCTAAAAGAGGGGCAACACCATACTCAATCATTCAATCATGTTCTCAGTTTCATCTATATTTTTAAGTTAATTAGTGAGTTCATGGCTGTGGCTGCCGACAGCGATATCACATCAGCTGCCAAGAAATCATTTCAGTCCCTTCAACTAGTGGTCGATAACTTGAACACAACGCACGGGGCACGATGACACAAATTCAGCCTGACGACACGCTGAAAATAACTTCCGACCAGTTTTATGTGTTGACAACGACAGGTATGTTTCACTTTTGTTTACACGTAGTTGTTTGATGGTCTTCTTTGATCTTGTTTTGCGTTTTGTTTCTGGGGAAGAAACTAAGCGTTAAGGCAGGGAGAACCTTGAGGAACACTCTGGAACTGGAACTGGAACTGGAAGAGCTGGGGCCATATGGTGATGACTGACCGGGGACAGACAGTTTCATATTTCCCAGTCCATTCCATTCCATCAGCTCCTTAAGTTAAAAACATTTTGAAGTAACGCACCAAACACAGGTCTAGTGAGAATATCCTGCTCTGCTTAAAAGAGACCAATAAAGGTTCTTGTAACGATCTGCGACTATTGATGAAACTTCGCCACTTGTAGCCGACGTCCGAACAACATCTATTTCAAAAAAGGTCCCAGAAGGTTGAACAAAGACCATTGCTGTTGTATCCAGTCTTGATATTGCTGCAGTATTGCTAAACGCGGAGTAATACTACACTCACTCGCTCATTAAGTGGAAAGGTTATAGTCCTTGATCTTGAATGCCGAGGATGTCATGGTCCTCTATATTTTAAAACGCCAGATATCAGACGAAGCATATTTAGGTAATGGTGGAATGAAATTAAGACCAACCTTGAGCACTTATTCACCTGCCAGACTTCAATCTGTCCTAAGCATGATGGTTTCTTGCCGGAACCCATGAAGACGAAGACGTCATAGCAACTATGGATGAGCTTTGGATAACCAATGGAAGGAAGGTAAACTAGGACGACACATCTGGAACACCGTTGGCAAATGCATATCAGTGATGAAGGTTATTGTGTTGAAAATATGTCATTCTAATCTCTTTGACAAAATGTTTCCTTAAGGTTCAGAACTCAGCAATCATGTATTTCGATACAGACAAATGCAATTGAGTTGATGGGGGCCATGTCTAAACTCTCAACAAACTAAAGCTCAGCGTGACCTTCAGATTCCCTTGTGTCAGAATCCACAAACACTACGTACTGTTGGTGCCACGGTTGCCAGTATGCTATCACCTTGAGACCAGAAGATCTAGAGTATCTCAACCACAATAGGAATGACTGTTGCTTGTTTGTTGTTTTACGCCGCACTCAGCAATATTCCAGCTATATGGCGGCGGTCTGTAAATAATCGAGTCTGGACCAGACAATCCAGTGATAACAGCATGAGCATCGATCTACGCAGTTGGGATACGATGACATGTGTCAACCAAGTCAGCAAATCTGACCACCCAATCCCGTTAGTTGCCTCTTAAGACAAGTATAGGTTACTGAAGACCAATTCTAACCCAGATCTTCACGGGTCACAACCAGAATGGCAACAGTGCAATCGGTTTCACAGTCAGGGGAACATAAGCTCAGCCGCTTGTGGTGGTCGTGTAGATAATATATATTTAGGTACAAAATGTTTAGCATATTTCCACACCCCTGTGATAATAGTAAACATTGCTGTTGAAAAAACGGGTTGGCAAAAATTGCTTCATTACTCATTCGAAATAATAACGGTAAAAACTATATTTGTGAGTATGGTTTTAGCAATATTCCACGTTGGGGGCATCAGAAATGGGCTCCACACATTGTACCCAAGTGGGGATTCGAACGCGGGTCAACGCTTTAACCACTAGGCTACCCCACCGCCCCATATTTTCCATGACGTCATGCCTGTAACAGTGACTGTTATACGCTACCCAGTCACAGATACACCTTTGATATTGACATCTAATGATCGAGGGAACAAATACCAGCGCCTTGAGCATGCACTAGTGCGTGGATATGTGCGTTATATAAATATCCAATAATAAATAATAATAATAATTTGAAACCGATTTACGGCTTATAAATAACACAGACCCTAACGTCAAGTCTGATATAACAATCCTAGGTGTTCCTATCGGTAATTGCTCTGAATCAAATACACATGACAGATGCTGTGATCACGTCGCTTTCGTCCGTGCTGATAAAAAAAACTGCTAGAGAAGGTGAGCTTCTTTGGGCTCAAACTGCTTACCGACTGAACTCTACCTTGCCGGGCACAAAACAGGCACATTTCAGTTTTAAAACAACGAGGGAATATGAACAGGCAAATAACACCGACGTTCAAAGCTTAGCTGGTGCAGGACGGTGGATATGAGATTGCCGGCTATATCTGGGTGTTTACACACACGTACCTTGTGCATACGGATGATATGTCAAGACTGGTAAAGAATCTCAGAGAGAAAAAAGCATAAGGTCGGAAAGCAGGCCATTGGGTGGGGGTGAGGTAGTACGACACAGAGAGGGGCTGGGACAAGGGTGGGGAGAGGCACACGGTTAAGGAGTTGTGGGTGAGGGAGTTTATAGAATAACTTGACCAGCTTCTGTTTGCATACGGTGCTAATCGCAGTGTTCACCACTACGTCGTCACTCTTTAGACAATGTTTACACTCATCTCGAAAACTCTTACCCACCATTAAACCTCATTGATTGACATGGAAATTAACTCAAAACTGATCACGTAGGGTATAGGGCTCACTTACAGAAAGAACACGAAATAACACGAATGCCAATGTGTTAATTACCAATGCATGGGGACTACAAGGATGCGTATTATTCCCAATATTATTCGCAAAATATACTAAGGACTGCATAACCCTGGTCACCCGTGAAGATCCGGGTTAGAATTGGTCTTCAGCAACCCATGTTTGTCGTAAGAGGCGTGATTGGGTGGTCAAGCTTGCTGACTTATTTGACACGTCATATCTCAATTGCGTAGGTCGATGCAACAGCTGACAAACCAAACATAATCCTGATTGTTCACACATCAAGTGTGCTAACTGCGCGGCTCTTGTAGCAGTTCTTAGACTGTGATGGCATCTACAGAGAAGAAATACACTCATCAAAGAAATGTCAAAATCATCAAAATCATTACAAAAACAAAAGAATTCGTCACTGACTTTCGAAGAAAGAGACTCTTGATCCCAATGACCAGGTGGAAACATTCTCTCAGTGTAAATATCTTAGAAGCCTCTAAATTGAACAGGTCTGATAATACTGACCCCCTTTATGCAAAATTACGGCAAAGACTTAACTTCATGACTGTACGTGCATATATTACATGTGTTTTATCAAAAGCGTTTAACTTTCGCTATTCAAGCATGATGTAATATCTGTCCATCCCAAGTAAGAATAAACTAAACAGAATTGTAAATCAGGCCAGCAAAATAGTCAGCACTCCTTTACCACGTCTGGAATAGTCTACCAGGACACAGTTCCATTCCCACGTTTCTAAACTATTATCAGACACTTCCCATGTTCTTAACTGTAAATATGTTCTTTAAGGTCTGGCTGCCGTTATCAAGTGCTAATATTTAAGACCAATCGTGTCAAACAATCTTTTGTACTCTTTAGTAATAGCATTTTCAACTCTTAAACCTTTTATATTTTAAGCATCTTGAACGTTGTGCTTATGTATTTATTTTAAATGTGTGAACCATATATAGATTGGCTTGTGCGTTGTATGTACCATTTCAGTTGCCCCTTTTAAAATGTGTTTATGATTTACTTTGTTGTCTGTAGCTTAAATTCCCACTTACGTAAATAAATACATTTGTTTGTTTTAACACCACACTCAGCAATATTCCCGCGATTTGTAAACAATTGTATCTGAACTTGACAATCCAATGATTGACATAACTGACTGACACTCCATACAGGTTCTATTCCATGATTACCCTAGAACAATTCGTTTGTCACCGACCGGTGAAGATCCGGGGTAGAATAGGTCTTCAGCAACACATTCTTGTCATAAAAGGCGACTATGCTTGTCGTAAAAGGCGACTAACGGGATCGGGTGGTCAGGCTCGCTGACTTGGTTGACACATGTCATCGGTTCCCAATTGCGCAGATCGATGCTCATGCTGTTGATCACGGCATTGTCTGGTCCAGACTCGATTACTTACAGACCGCCGCCATATAGCTGCAATATTGCTGAGTGCGGCGTAAAACTAAACTCACTCACTCACTCACTCGTTTGTCACCATGCCCTTCCCTCGTGTCGCTATCGCAGCACAGAAATGCACTACTGGTGGAAGCAATTTCATTGGGTGACCATTTTAGCGTCTTATCATTCGAACCGGGCTATAAACAAAGCTGTGGTATTGAGTTGAGTGTTCATCAAAACGGAATAGCGATATATTGCTCGGAATACATGTGATAGAGGAAGGTTATAGAAGCAGCGATACCATTTCATTAAGCATTGCAAATTACTCGTAATAGACAAACCCTTTACACGAATCCAACCTTATTATAAGCTCGTGTTTATGAATCCCTAAATACGGAAGTATTCGCTGGTTTAACCATCATTACGTTTCTCGGTTATACTAAGATCACTTCGGACAATGGAGTAATGAGTAATCGTGTAAATCAAATACGATTACAAATACACATTCCAGCTTAAGCCTAGTTATTAGCTGAGCCTGTTTACTACAAGCATCACGAGGGAGGTATGTGAAGCATATGTTTGTTCTCTCCTGTTAAGACGCAAAAACATACTACCGCTGTATCCCTACCGCCTTGTCCAACAACTCCAAATCAGTCGATTGTGCGCCACACTAATCGGAACACACCGGGGTTGCACCGAAGGTGATGCGCCTCTGATGTCACGGGCGACCATGTTGGAACGTGGCGGACATGGTAAAAAGAATATAAAACGTTCATGCGGTATCATTCGATACTGACGTACACTGACGGACAAAAGGGAGTGTACGCCCATCTTTCAAGATATGGTGTCTAAAACTGATATACAACTGATCATTCGATGGGAATGGGGATGTATTTGATAGGGGTATTAAAGTGATGTTTTTGGACTTTACTAGAATGTTTTGGCGACTCTTTCAGCTTATTAACGTGTGTAATTTGTTGTCACATCCAAATTTCAAGTGAGTACTTACTTTTGTCCGGCAGTTTCTTATTAAAACCCTGTAACAGGAATCACTGCTTGGCCAGTCATGTTCGCTTATTGATATCTTTAGGCCGGTAATATGTGAGCAACACCTAAAATAAAGGGTCAGTGATACAAATCTGCCTCCTATTAGAAAGAAAAACATGTGTATACGTTTCTGCGGTTATATAATTATCGTATCACCTCATCAATCTATTGTGTGATATTCATTCTTGTCTATGTTTCACTGCTGAGGGTTACTCTACGTCCAAACAGGTATATTTTTCTTCTTGAATAGTAGACTTTAAAGTATCCCATATAAAAACAAGAACCGGAAATAAAAGTGGAACACGATGGCGACTCCTTCGGAACCGAACGTGAGCAGTAGAAGGGCCATGGGGTAGCCTAGTGGTTAAAGCATCCGCTCGTCACACTGAAGATCCGGGTTCGATTCCTCACATGGGTACAATGTGTGAAGCCCATTTCTTGTGTCCCGCGACGTCATATTGCTGGAATATTGCTAAAAGCAGCGTAAAATTGAACTCACTCACTCACAATAACAGTTGAGACTGGTGAACAAGGACTTTTTTCAATATTTTATTTTTGTTGCATTTTAAATCCTGCAGTCCACAATGGCAGACATCACTGCAGTCCGCCAGAAGTGAAGCATTTAAACAACTGATATCCAATAAGGAACAGATGAGTGGACTGCAAAACATGTTGTGAACTAGTTTGGTTTACGGTGGAAGTTAGAGATAAGACGCAGTAAAACTTAAATGAGAGCCAAACGGAATATTT